TGTGTCTCCATCATTATTATCACAAAACAGGCCAAAAAGTCAGTTCTGTCCCTTCCAGGATGTCATAGTGTCAGCAGAAAGGCATCTGCAGCTTTCTGAAAGGTCAGGAGGCTACATTGCAGCATCTGGTTCCTCAGAAGTAGTCCACTTTTAGTTTCTGGCTTAATACCATGCACGAACGCAGTGAAACCATGGCTAAACAAACATGGCATAGCACAGACCCAGAGTCTGGGTTGTTCTTCATCACTCTTCATCCTGGAATCCAGTGATGTACTGGACTACAATCCCAAGCATGGCTTGGGACATAAATTGATAGGAGGAATTAAGATGGAAAAGCTCATTTTCTATTACTTTGATCTGAGAGCTATCTCCTGTGGTGTACCCAATACAGTTCTCCTGGACGTTTTTCTTTCTTTCTTTCCAAAATATGATCTATAAAATGTATGTATTTATGTATTTATAAGCATATATTTTGCATTGAGTACAGCACCCAAAATGGGCTGCTCATAAAACCTCCACTGTATCTTTAACCCAGTTACAGCAAGTGAACAGTTAATTGTAGTCTCAAAGATTTCCAGGAAACTCAGTGAATATAGAGTGCTTGATTCCTGTTCAAACATACACTCTGTTAGGAACACGATGAGATAAAGCTTCAGCCAACCAGCCGGTGGAGAATGAAGACTCTCCCTCATTTTTTGTTTTTACCTGTCAACCACATGTTGCAAGTACAGTTCCATTTGAATAAATGGGTCTGACCTTTTCAAGATCACAGGCTGTGGCTGTGCGAAGACCAAGATCAAAGGTCCCAAATGTTTACAAGAGCAGAGACTCTTCTTTTTATTGTTTGCCCAACCGAGCTCATTTCTTTTTGAGCTGGTCGCTTGCCGGTTAGAGTCCATGTGCTTGGATAAAGTTTTCCACTGGAGGTGCAACATCTCTAAATCATACCGGGGAGCTCTCTGTGTTATTGCATAAATTTGCAATTGTATATTAATTATGGCTGAGCAGTGCCCTTTTGGCCAATTCCAGAAAGATGCTTTGGGGTGCACAAGGACATGAAGATAACACCTGGAAAAAAGTGCTCTTTACATCAGAGCACTTTTTCTTGGGAATGCATGGTAGCTGGTTTCAAGATGCTACCCAACTGCTTTAAAGAGTTCATGCTCCTGTATGTTCCAAAGATCCTTCTTGGAATCCCAAATCTAAATGTTACACAAACCCTAATATTATACATCTCCTTAAGGTGTGACCTTTTAAAATGCATTTAAGACCATCAAAGATAGCACAGGATAGAACAAAGTTAGAAGGATTTAGGCCAGCCTTCTTCAACCAAGAATTTTCTAGATAACATGCAGTAAGGACAATGCTTCTTTAAAACACATGTTTTTACAATATCCTAATCCTAATGAGTTTTGGGAGAAAACACTGGACCATATAAATGTAACTGCGACAAAAGCTAACATTTTCAGAGGATAATATTCTCTTGAATTACATACTTAGTATATGGAACTGGACAACTGGACAATGTAAATGGATTCTCCGTGCCCTTACTATGGCTAAAAGACTGATATTGCAGTATTGGGAAGATAAATGTGTGGCCCCGTTCACATAATGGATTGAAAACCTGATTGCGCTTACCACTTAGGAGCAGATTGTCTGTAGATGTAGACTTTGTATGGACAAGTATAACGAAATATGGGACTCATTTATACAAAATACAGTAGACTAAAAAAATGATAGTCATATAAATGTATTAGAAATATATACTTACTTGAATAATATTTGCATTAGATAAGTACATATAAAATTGTAGCTGTTTACTGTTATAATGACAGTGATGTATCATGCTATATTTTTTCCTTTGTCGTACTTTTTTCACTTTTTTGTAAAGCACTTTTTATGTTTTTTTCTTGGATTATGTATGTGTCTCCATCATTATTATCACTGTGTTTTGCTTTTTTTCTTTTTCTTTTTCTTTTTTTGTTATTAATTAAAAAGCAATACAAAATAAATAAATT